GTTCCTCTGATGGCAGTTGTGTTAATGTTGTGGGCTTATACATCTTACTTCTCCGTCTCTTGTAACTCGTGTGTAGATACTGATGAGTGTACATCGAGCAAACACGATTGTTCCTCTGAAGGCGACTGTGTTAATGTCGTGGGTTCCTATCAGTGCTCTTGCAAGCCTGGATTTACTGGAGATGGTAAAATTTGCCAAGGTAACATTTATTTTATATAAAAGTGCAAAGCTATGGCCTCTTCACCGGTCTTGCAAGACAGAAATAACTGATGTGATTCGCAGGGTCAATTGTCTAAAAAAGGGTTTTACATGTTAATGTAACAGAGAAGGCTGCCTCCACTTCATAATCAGCAAAATTGCTTTTTTAAGCATATTTCAAATATACAGAACAATGCCGAACTTCTGGCAAACCCGTGAATTCACCACCTCAGCACGTTACACTTTTCAGTAGATTCTGGGAAACGCTAAAAAAAACAACCCCACCTCTTCTGATAATTTCCCTACACCTTGATTAGTCTTATATTCCATTTCTACTTAGATATCGATGAGTGCAACGATGGAAGCCATGACTGTCACTTTGCGGCCGATTGTACAAACACCGCTGGATCATTCGACTGCAGCTGTCAGTCTGGACACCTTGGAGATAGATGGCACTTAAATGTGAGTGAGTAGAGTGGTTTGAACACGAAAACCTAAGGCTTTCTTTGAAACCTGACAAACTATTTAACAGATAACTGGAAAAAGGTCAACATCGATCCTGTCTGTTTTGGGACAAAAAATGACGACCACGGAACTTTTCATATCCAAGAAGCCGGTCAAATCTACACATTTAAACTTGTCCATACAAGCGGCTCCGTGACATGCGTATCCATTTTAGCAATACCAACAAAGTGGGGATGCTCATTGCCAATTTACGGAAATCACAACCTAATGACGGTGATAACTTACAGCAACAAAACAGTTCTCCCGCTTACTGAGTTCTTGAAAGGCAACGACAGCACATACTATACTTACCAACTTGACGGTGCCGATTTCAACTCCGCAACACTAGTGTTCAAGCTCTTCCCCACCCCACTGGTTGTATTGGTTGGTCAGCAGTTCCAATTATGGTATGCGCATGACTTGGTTAATTATACAGAGGATAATAACGGTGGTAAGACATGCGCAGACGTTTATGCTCTGTACCACTGACACGGTTAAACGGTTGCGGCAACTACAGATGACTTCGGTCGTACGTCTGCACTTTGCTGAATCACAGCCGGCAAACAATCGGAGAGCAGGTGGTATTTAGTTCATAAAGAAGGCACGGTAGATGTAATATGGCTTCAATCACTAGGTCCTTAATGAATGGTCCGTTCAGTTGGTACGATAAGTAAGCTGATTGGTTACCGGGACCCTATATTGACAAATTCAGCAAGCTTCGACATCGATATGGAAACGTAGTAGATAATTTCATGTAGTAATGCAAGTATGTAATGACGAAAAGAAAAAACAGAAAAAAAAGCAATACTAAGAGTCGAGATTTGCCATGCCTCCTTAGCTATTCACCAGCTTACATTCAACGCACGCCTACTGCATCATTGTTAAATATTTCACAACAGTTATTTTTTCTCTGCGGCTGATGCTTATGAATTTGCTTTCTTTCAATGAAAATGAATTGAAAATGAACTTTAGTGTCCCAGAGCTCATAAAAACTTCTATAAATGATAATCTCTTTTATCAGCTCTTCTTTCAGATAGCTTAAATTTAAAACTGTCGAGTTTCATTTTATGCCGTGTTTCTGTTTTTCATTATCTTTACAGTGGATTTGGGTCCAGAAATCGCACTTTGAATAGCTTGTATTTAATTTTATCTTTAGTAAACAAACAATTGAACTTAAGGAAATTTTGATTGGCAGTAAGAGCTGATTGGGGTACCCCGTTGGTTTAAACAGTTAAAAAAGTGTCCTGTGGTAGTTGTAATATGCGTTGGACGCGTCTTAAAGATACGTGACGGGATGGCGGTACGTTTGTGACATAAACGATTATTAAACCGTTTAACCATCCTGCAAAAATTAGCCCTGAATAATTTCGGTA